GTATTTCTATTTGTCGTTTGTCAGCTGTACCAACCCTACGGTTGTCTATATATATATATATATATATATATAATGCTGCAATCTTCGTGATTTCTTTTTTACATGGAATTGATTTATATGACTACTTTTTCTCTCCCCTCTCCCCCCTTCTCCTCTCATTACATTATTTTTTGGGTGGCTCAAATTACAAGTTATTTTGTTGCAAAGATAAAGACACTTTAGAACGGTGGGAATCCATTTGTTTCCATTTAATCAATTAGGCCCAAAATACAAGGGACTGCTCTAAGATGCGCAAAAGAGTGTTGATGGTGGCTGAAAAGCCATCACTTGCAGAAAATATCGCCTATCATCTATCAGGAGGGAAGGCCCAGAAGCACCAGCGCGCGCTCCGCGTGTTTGAGTTCGAAGGTTATTTTATGCAGCAGCCCGCCTTTATCAAGGTGACCAGCACTACCGGCCACGTTTTTTCCTGTGATTTCACCCCACAACATCAGAACTGGGATAAAACAGATGAGGAAGATCTTTTTAACGCCCCCGTCATGTGGAAGGATACTTCTGAGAAGGTAACCCACCATCTTGAACACGAAGCGCAAGGTTGTGATGAGCTTGTGCTTTGGTTAGATTGCGATCGTGAGGGTGAAAACATCTGTTTTGAGGTGATCCAGGTGGTATCGAAGAGCATTTACAGCTGGGATCGAATATGGCGTGCTATCTTTTCGGCCATTACACATGAGGAGATAACACGTGCCTATTATAATCTTGTCAAGCCGAACAAGAGTGTTAGCGATGCAGTAAGATGTCGACAAATACTGGACTTGAAAGTCGGTGTAGCGTTTACACGATATCAGACAAAGTTTTTTCAGGGCCAATACGCCGATCTGAACGCGAATGTGGTGAGCTACGGCCCATGCCAGACGCCAACCCTAGGGTTTTGTGTTCAGAGACACGATGACATCGTGGGCTTCAAACCCGAGAACTACTGGAAGTTGGTGGCGGTGGCAAACCGCGGCGGTACTTTGCTGCAATTTGAGTGGGAACGCGGACGTGTGTTTGATGAGACTATGGCACGTCTTCTTCATCAAAAGGTGACCAAGACGAAGATCGCGAAGGTCGTGCAGGTGTCTGTTGGTAGCGATACACGCGCACGACCTACCGCGCTAAACACGGTGGAAATGCTGAAGGTAGCTACAAGGGCTCTTGGCATCGGCCCACACTATGCGATGAATATTGCTGAAGGTCTATACATCCGCGGCTACATATCCTACCCGCGAACGGAATCGACGGCGTACCCCAATTCCTTCGACCTTACAGGCGTGCTGAAAGAGCAGAAGGGGCACTCTGTATGGGGTGGTTATGTTACTGCGCTGTTGCAGAGCGGCCACGTCCGTCCGAAGGCTGGCAAGGATGCAGGAGACCATCCCCCCATCACCCCAATGCGAGTCGCAGGGCCTGGTGAGCTTTCAGGTGATGAATGGCGTCTCTATGAGTACATTACTCGTCATTTCATTGCAACGCTTTCACCCGATTGCAAGATGACAAAGACGAAGATTACGATTGATTTGCATGGGGAGATGTTCCACGTCGTCGGGAGGGTCGTTGAGGACCCAGGCTTCACGGAGATTATGCCTCACCTTAGCATAAAGGATGACAAGATCCCAACTAACATAGCACGTGACGATGAGTTTCATTTATCTGATGTCCGGCTTCAGCCCGGGCAAACCCAGCCTCCTTCCTATCTTACGGAAGCGGAGCTGATTGGTCTTATGGAAAAGAACGGTATTGGCACGGACGCTTCGATACCAACGCATATCAATAACATTGTTGAGGGCGGCTACTGCACGATCGAGCCGGGAAGGCAGATCAAGCCCACCAAGCTCGGCATTGTGCTTATCCACGGCTTCAGTGCAATTGATCCAGAGCTGGTATTGCCCATGGTGCGCAGCCGCATGGAGGAGTATGTAACTCTCATCGCGGAGGATAAGGCGCATTTGGATGATGTTCTATCCTTCAGTCTAAAACTTTTCTTTGCTAAGTTTAAATTTTTCAAAGAGCACATCGAAGTGTACGACGCCCTCATGAGTGCTTCATTTTCACCTCTCTCGACGAGTGGGAAGCCAATCACTCGGTGTGGGAACTGCTCGCGCTACCTCAAGTACATCACCGCGCGGCCTCAGCGGTTGTACTGCGCCTACTGTGAGGCGATCTTCAATCTTCCCCAGGGTGGCACCGTTCGGCCCTACTCCAACTTCGTCTGCCCTCAAGACCAGTTTGAGCTCGTCGTGTGTCACATTCAGGGCGGGAAGTCGTTCCCGCTTTGCCCGCAGTGCTACAACCACCCCCCGCTCGAGGAGCTGGAGGCAGCGGGGCAAGCTGGGACAGGGAAGACGGTGCACCTTTCCTGTGACATGTGCCACTGTCACAGCTGCGAGCATAGCCTTGCGCGGAATTACGTCAGTGACTGCGTCGATGAGGCGTGTGGAGGGAGCATGGCCTTTGTCCCGCGTACCGCGGGGAATTGGCGGGTGTGCTGCAACCGCTGCACGATGATGGTGCTGCTCCCGTCCACCGCGCAGCGCGTCGGGGTCACCACGGAGGAGTGTGAGACATGCGGTGCCACCCTCATGGAGGTGGTCTTCCCACCTGGCAAGAGCCCCTTGCCGAATTCGAAGGAGCGGCTGAAGGGGTGCGTGTACTGTAATGCTACATTGAGTAGTTTGTGCGAGGAGGTACGCGGTCGATCGTGCAACTTCACCCGAGGAAGGGGAAGGGGACGCGGAAGAGGAAGAGGAAGAGGAAGAGGAAGAGGACGGGGCCGTGGTGGCAACCATCGTGAATAGTATTTTCCTTGCTCCAAATTTTACTGGGTTCGGCAAATAGGGATCCTTTTAAAAATTATGGGCGTGTGGGCGCTTCACCAATAGCACCCACCGTTAACTCTTCGACTCGTATCGGGATGGCAGAGCGTGGGATGCTGCTGGTCTAACCAAACTAACTTTAATGGAATATAGGATGCAACATATCACACTGTATAATGTCGAACGCCACGATGTGCCCGATTAATCGTGTGTTGTTTTATCTTTATATTTTCTTTGTGCTTATTGCAGCTTATGGAAGACGCACATGATATCCTTATTGTGTTTCTGTGCATGTGCGTATAAATTATCCGTGTATTGTGATTCGTTTTGAAAATGGGGACACCCAGTACGACAACACTGGAGGGGAGGTTATAGTCTCTGTGCCAGTCATTTAAATGTGAGAAGTGGACACACACAAGAATTGATTACCTTTTCATATTTGAAATTCGTATTACATTTCCTCCCTTGTTCATTACACAACAAAACAAACACGCAACGACAAAGAAGAGGTAAGCCTCTAGATAATACGGCACCAACAACTTATGCGACTTATTAATACATTCAAGAGTGGGAAGGGGCTATATATGGTGTAAGAAAAACCAAGAGCGAAATTGGTAGCAACATTTTTTACCATTTATATTTGATTTTCCCTAAAATCTTATTACATGTGTAAGTGCATACCAATACACATCCATTAACGTATATGAGATACAACGAAAATATTATTTGATAGTCTAGCTAGTAATTTATTCACTTAGGAAAGGGCAGGAGAAGACTCACTAATTTGAAGAGTACGAAAGTGATGTATCAGCAATACTTCGCTTCTGCCACATCCAGTCATGAGAACGGCACCCAAAATGCTCGCTTCAAGAAGATGATGTGCTTTCCAGAGAATCTCGTGTGCTTCGAATGCGGCGCGAAACGACCGACCTGGGCAAGTACGAACTTAGGCATTTTCTTCTGCTTGCGTTGCGCGGGTATTCACCGCGCACTCGGCACACACATTACGAAGGTGAAGTCTATTAATATGGATACCTGGGATGAATCTGCAATCGATTTCATTGAGCGCATCGGAAATGCAAGAGGTAGGATTCTTTACGAGCACAATATGCCGGACATCTTCAAGCCGAACATCAATACTTCTTCGAATGAGTTCGAAAAACTACTGCGGATAAAATACGAAAAGAAGGCCTACTACCATCCGAACCACGAAGAACTCCTCAAAAAATTTATAAATTCTGATATCGAGGCTCGGGTGACGCGAAGCAACGATGGGAATAAGCTTTTGAAAACGTCAAACACCACCGAGCCCATCACCACTGGAGAGGCTAAAGAAAGTGCTTCACCCAACAGCCAGCCTAGCCCTAAGGAAAATCTGTTTGAACCGGCAGAGGCAGTGGTGCCCATTCCAAGCCTGTTCTGTAAACCTGTAGTGCCGACAACTTCTTCCGTTACGTCCACATCGAACAGCCAGATGTCGGAGCATAGACGGCATGCTGAGGTGCTGGATCTCTTCGCGGATGCGAATCGGGCCCCGCCATCCGCGAAGAATGTGTGGTCCGGAAATCCAATAGTGGCTCAAGGGCACCTCCCCACCCCCTCTGCCCCGGCCTCATCGATGCATCTCAGCGTTAATGGCTTCCATCCAGGCATCGGTGGTGGGGTTTCCCCTGCTCCCTCCTCTTATACGGCGCCAATGTGGAATACAACAGGTCCTGCTCTGTTGGCCAAGGCCCCTCTTATGGCTGGCCCCACTTCTCTCCCTCCGTTTTCGGGCCCTCAATGGGGTGGTCAGGGCCCTGGTGGACATGGTCACCACTACGTCAGCCCCACCCCGGCGATGGCCCCCCTCCCGGGCTCCGTAGGTTGTACAAAGGATCTCGTGCAGTCCTTGTTCGCCACCCCATCTGACCCTTCTGAGGCGGTGCATGGCGCGTGGAAACCGCGTAGGGCGGGGACGTTTTATTCCCCTCATACACCATACTGATGGGGGAGTCTGGCTTCAATTATGTATAAAAAAGTATACACCGATTAACCTTTTATATTCAAGGAAGCGATGGTCCATATAATGTATCCCTTCCACCAGCTAACGTGTGTAGTCCCTTCATAGTTCTGTGTTCTAACTTCTTCGCCTAGAGGAAATAGAATGTATTTTCATTTTCGGACTCATTGGAAGTTGTCATAGGCTGATTGGAGGTGAGTTAGAATATCAACTAAGAATTTCTACCTTCGTATCGTAATAAAAGTGCCTATTGATCCAAGCGCACATACATTTATATGTTTTCATAGTTTTGTTGGCCAGGTACCGTAATGTTTTGTATTCTTTATTTGTGAGATTCGGTAACTTAGTAAAACAAGTTGCAGGAAATGATATACTAATGTAAGCATATAATCTCGTTTGTTCGTGTGGTTGCGAATAATAAATTAGTCTGTCCATTGTATATTTCTAAAACAGCTTCCATGATGTATCCACATGTTTCTGTATTGCTCGGACTTCCTTCATTTGTTTCTTTGAATCCTTAATTTCAATGTATGACTAACCTCGTGCTTTCCATCGTCTAAATGGGTCACAGGGAAAATAATAGATGTGCCGAAGCGCAAATTTAGCGATAAAACTACCCTTCTTATTTGATAATAAATATAGTAAATAGTGTGTTTATGATCTAAAGCTGCAAGCTCCCGGAAAGAAAGTGAGACCCAACACGGAGGCAATAATACAGCGGCCTTACGTAAACTTAGGTTAAGCAGGAAGTATATTTCCTTTTGATACACTTTATAGAATTTTTGAATGGGAAATCAGTTGGCTGCAACTCCGTCTGTACGCATAGCTGATGTTTTATCCTCTTTGCATCTCATTGCACCCCTTGGTGGGGAGAACCGAAATTTCTTTTCGACCTTCCACTGCCTAGATCGAACTGAAACTCATCCCTTATCGCTGAAACTTCTAGTACGATGCAGCCGACCCGATTTGCATCGAATTCATAACATTTGCAATCGCACTGAAAGCACATGCCATACAAACTTCAATGATGTCTATCACCACTTAGAGGGTGACACCCAGGGCGTTTCTGCAAGTCCACAGCCGCCAGCCGCGGACAAATTTTTCCCCAGTGGAGGCCTCAAAATCAGCCTCAATAACTATACTCATTTTCTTCTCCGACGCTCTGTGAAGACCGAGGGTAAGGACGCAAACACCGATGGCGATTCTAAAGTGCCGGGTGATCACTCGAACACCGAGTTCAGTAGGGTGTGCGAGATGTATCGGAGTGGGACCTGGACCCTTTACTCTAGTCGTTCAGAAAACGCGGCGGTGAACCCATTGGGTGCTCCGCGGCGGCGAACCACCCCGCTGGCAACCGCGCCTGAGTCTCTTTTCCAACCCCCCACTACTACGATGGTTCGTGATGTGGTGGTTAAAGTCTTCGTGCGTAACCCCAACGTCCCTGAGCAGACGCTCACTTTGAAAGCGGTCTCCAAGCTGCTGCACAGCATGGCGGAGCACATTGCCGCCGCTGATGCCGTTCTTGGGCCTAATAGTCCAATTAGCATCCTTTTTTATGATACCATTCGGTCCGAGGACAGCGATATGTTTTGCCTGTTGCAACGACCCTATGTTGATTTCTCACTCGTCGAGCGACTTGCTACACGACCTTTTTATACCATGGAGGATCGCCTTTTTGCGTGCTATCAGATTCTTAAAGGCCTTGTTCAGCTCCACGAGCAGTATGGCATGGTGCATGGTGATCTCAAGCCGAGCAACGTACTTGTGCAGAGCGGCAGTGGTTGGCTTTACTTGTCTGATATTGCACCCTTCAAGCCTTCTCGTGTACCAGCCCATAACCCAGCTGTATTTGACTATTACTACGACACCGACGACACACGCTGTTGCTGTCTTGCACCTGAAAAGTTCTACGATAGTAAGTTGAAGCCGAGCGCCCCACTTGCCTTGGCGTTGTCGACGGCCACAATCGCGCGATCCGCTTCCTTCGCTACGGAACCAAGAATCACGGGTTTTCCCGTTGAACCCATGAATCCAGGTTTCTCGCCAGGATATCAGTCGCCGTCATCGTTCTCTTCGATTGCGAGCGATGTAGAGTTGGATAATATGAACGTGTACGACCACACACCCGCCATGGATGTGTTTTCTGCTGGCTGTGTAATGGTCTACCTTCTTACTGAAGAGCCGGCATTCAGCTTCTCCGAGGTGCTTCAGCTTCGCGAGCGGGATACGAGTGAGGCGCGAAGGGCATTTGTTGCACCAATTCTGGACGGTCGCGGCGTCCATGGACCGCTTCTGGAGATGTTGCTAAGTATTCTATGTTCGCTTCCAGACGAACGACCAAGCGCGCGTGAGGTTTTAGAATCCTTTACCCCTTTAGTGTTTCCGAGCAGCTATAAGGTGCTTTACGAGAGGATTTTGCCTAGCCTCCTCGTGCGGCCACCGGATCACCAAGTGCAGATACTATTTCGTCAGTTTAGGGGCATCCTGCGCGAATGTGCAGTCGAAGAACCTTCAAATGGATGTCCTAAGGCTGAATCCAACGAGGGTCTTTCCACGGTGGCGTTGCGAGGGAGTGCGACTTATCAACTAGAGGCGCAGCGCGTCGTCCACATTCTTCTACCCCTTCTTCTCCACGCAACACGTCGGGCAAGCACCGATGAGGCGACCTTTCGTGGTGTGGTATGCCTCCACCAAGTCGCCTTACCACACTGCAAACTTTCCACCCAGCTGGACTTGGTGCTTCCCCATCTTTTGTATATCGTCAACCGCCGCGCGGAGTTCGGCGTCAACACCCGCATTGTTGCTTTGCGCTCGGTTTGCGAGATTGTTGGGCGGGTGGTCGCTCAGCTGTCAAGTTCTTCATCCTCCACTTTCATACCGGGCCGAAGAAAAGACGAGCATGATCTTCACAACGATGTTTCCGCACTAGGAGGAATCGAAAAGCCGACGTTGCGGATGAGCACTCGTATCCAGCAAACCACGCTGCTGGATGACCTCATCCTTCCATGTATCTGCGAGTTACTTGAGAGCTCGTCCCGGGAGGAGGTAGGGTTTCTGACGGAGCTCGCCACCCGACTGCCTCAGCTCCTGCTTGAAGCGCGCTATTGTCTAGAGCAACGCCAGACGATCTTCGGGACCTACCAAATTGCTAATCGCCAGGGGACATTTGGCCAGCAGTTGGATGGGTTGTGTAATAACGGTTGGTATATGTTTCAGGCGCTTTTTCGTCTTTGCTTAGTTCCCGTCTCCGTGGCGATTATGCATCAGGCGCCCAAGGTTGCCGCTTTCCTAGGCGATGCCCGCACGCAGGAGGAGATGATACCCTTTCTGACTACCGCTATCTCCTCCCCGATACCGGTTCGACGGGAGGTTTACCCCATCGCGATCCTCCTCCACGCCGTTCTTCAGTCCCCTGAGATTAAGACGCTCCACTTTTTTGTCGAGGAAGGGCTTCGTCAGCGAGATGGGGTGTGTTTGAAGCGGACCCTCGACGCGTTACGGGTGGTGGTGCGCGCGCGGAAGTTCCCCGCGTGTGATTCAATGACGTTGGTGCATCAGGCGCTTCCCCTCGTCGGGAGTCCCCTCCCTGGGGTGAGCCTTGCCGCGAGGAAGGTGGTTGAGGTCGCCGCCCGCACCTATCGCGCGAGTGAGGTGATGGTGTACTTGGAATGCGCGATTCGCCCCCTCCTCACGCAGGCCGTCCCGCTCGCCGACCTCAGCCGATTTCCAGACTCCGTCATCCGCCAGGGGTTTTCCTTCGTGGTGCCCGAGGCCCCCCAAGGAGGACCTTCTGGTAGGTCTTACAGGGCCGCAGGGGGAATGATGGGGTCCGTTTCCCCCCCCCTTTCCTTTCCGAATCCGCCAGGAGCGGGCATGAAAACGCATGGATGGCATCTCCCACCGCGGGAGTTTTGCTACGCCACGGAAGGTCGTCCACACCATAGCACCGCGGTGTTGCTCCGAGACGCGCAGGAGCCCTCACACGCCGGGGAAGGGTGCGGCGATGATGTGTTGTTGGATATCACCCTCGATCCGGAGGCGGTGGGGATCCCCGTGGGCTCTCAGCAGCCGCCCACACAGCCGGAGAAGCCGGCTTTCCCTGAGGATCAAGCGGAAGCGACGGCTTCGGCGGTCATGGGGCATGACGTTTGTTATCACCCTTCACCTCGCGAGCGCAAACGCATGCAACTTCGACGATCGATCCTTTCTTGCCATCCCCCGCGGGTATTTCGGACGGCCTCACCGCGGTCGCCTTCCGATGGCGTTCCGATGGGAGGATCCAATCCGAGGATTCCTTTCCACCGAAAAGACACCGGCAGTTATGATTCCGCTTCCGGAGAAGGGGGAGGGGGAGGGGGGGGCTCGACGGGAAATTCCTCGACGGCCTCTTCTCCGCTTTCCGCCGCGGTTTGGCTGCCGCCGTGGCGGGAGAGCCCTTCGCGAAAGGAGCTCCGCCCGATTGCCGTTCCCCTCGACTCCCACGCGCGGCATACCGGCGGGATTTACTGCATGGAAGGCTTACCTGGCGGCCGATTGCTCACCGCCGGGGCGCGGGCGGAGATGCGGGTGTGGCGGTTTGAACCCGATCCGACCTTTTTCCCCCCCCCCCTCACGCGCTCGTTTGGCCCCGCCACCCGGGTGGACGCGACGTTACGGTGGATCTCCGACGTCAACCTCGTCGGGGCGGCCGCGTCGGAGGATTTTTTGACCGCCTGTCGGGTGAGTTGGGGTCGCCCGGATCGCGGCGCGGGGTCCGCCTCGCTGGTGGCGCTTGGGGGGACGCGCGGGGGGGTCCATGTGTTGGATCCCCACCGCGGCGGGCTCATCCAGCAGTGGGAGGCCGGGAGGGGGGGACCGGCGGCGCGACCTCGCGGGGTCCCCGCCTCGGGCGGAACCCCGGCTTCCCCCGACGCCGTGATGGCGATGGCGATGTTGGAGGCCCACGTGCTGCTCGTC